ACAACACTAAAACCCCATAATATTAGGCAGCAAAACCTTTGACAGAATTAGCACTATTTTTGGCAGATTTTCAGAATTAACACCTGTACATGAATTTTGCACCAAAATTGCTTATAAATATCAAAATCTAACCTTAACTTCATATCTCACTATAATAAATCACAAATAAGGTGTTTTATATCATATACACACAATAGATCAAAGATTCAAGCTCTAAATTACAAACCTATTTCAAATTCAACTTTCTTCAATTTCAATACTCAAATAACATTTCTTTGATATATTATTGCTTAATACCTCAAAAATATAATAATAATATCTAATTCTTGCTAAACTTTGAATATAAATGAATGGTTCATAAACCCTAGAAATTTAATTAACTTACCTCTTTAAACTAAGGATAAGTTGAAGAAATGAAAAATTCAAACTTACAAAAATCATCAATCTCTTTCATTTCCTCTATTTTTTTTCTCCCTCTTTTTATCCAGTTTCGTTCTCTGCTTCCTCTCTACATTTTTGGCCCCAAAATGAGAGAAAATGGTTATGTTCAAGGTTTTAAATGAATAAGTATGATAGAATTGCAAATCAAGTCCCCGCACTTCATGTAATATACCATTTACTCCTTTAATTCCAATAAATAGAAACTAAATCCCTAAGGTTCTTGTAATTACAAATTAAAAATCATTTGTTCAACTTACGTCCTTATTGACTTTGGCCAATTTATTTGCTTGATGTTGACTAAAAATGTTTGGGGTGTAACAATTCCAATGTTCTTTACTTGGATTGTTAGTATATCTACTAAGTCTCCCAATAGCAAAGGCTATATCAGGTATTGTCCTATTTGCTATGTACAATAAAGATCAAATAATTTGAGCATACTCAAATTGCTAAACTGGTTCACCTAAATTCTTCTTCAAGTGTACATTTGAATCATATAAAGTGGTAACTGGTTAATTATCATAATGTCCAAACCTTTTCAACATCTTTTTAATAGCATTAAATTGATTTAGTGAAATTCCTTCATATGTTTTCCTTAACTTCATTCCCAAAATTATATGAGCTTCTTCCAAATCTTTCATTTCATAATTCTTTGATAAATAACTCTTTATATCATTAACAAATCCTAAATTTGTCCCAATTATTGATATGTCATTTACATATAAACAAAGTATCACATGCTCGTTGTTATCTTCTTTGCAATATACACACTTGTCATGTGTATTAATTTTAAATTCATAATTTAATATAACTCTATTGAACTTCTCATGCCATTGTTTAGGAGCTTGCTTTTGTCCATATAATGACGTCATTAATTTACATGCTCTATGTTCTTGTCCTTTGACTTTAAATTCTTCGGGTTGTTACATATATATTTCTTCATTCAAATCACCATTAAGTAATGCAATCTTAACGTTCATTTGATAAATGATCAATTTATGAATATTACTTAATTCTGACGATGTTCTAATAGTAGTTATTCTAACAATGGGAGAATATGTATCAAAATAATCAACTCATTCTTTTTCGGTAAATCCTTTAGCTACTAACTTAGCTTTATATTTATCTATACTCCAGTAGGTTTCAACTTCTTTTTAAATACCCATTTACATTGTATTGCTTTACAACCTTGAGTTAAATCACATAAACCCCAAGTATTATTTTGTATAATTGATTTGTACTCATCATTGATAGCTTCTTTTCAATAAGGTGCATCAGTAGAGACCATAGCATCTTTATATGTTTCAAGTTCACCTTCAACAGATATGTAAAGAATTCTTCTCCAAATGATTTTTCTTTCCTAATCCTTTTACTCCTCCTAAGTTGATGTACAACTTCACCTTCTAAAGATGAGCTAGATGGAGTACTATTTAAAACACATTCTTAGAAGTCGAGGGTTCACTTGAAATTGTAGTCTTAAATGGGAAAACATCTTCAAAATAAGTAGCATCTCTAGCTTCAATGATAGTATTATTTTTAACGTCACTTACTTTGAAATTTATAATGAATAACTTATTTGCGCTACTATTTTTAACATATCCTATGAAAACAACATCCACAGTTTTTGGTCCCGTCTTCTTTTTTTCTTTTTTTTTAGAATCAGGTATAATTACATTTGCCAAACACCCCATACTTTTAGAATATCTAACATTGGAAATCTCTTTCTCCATAGCTCGTATGGAATTTTAATATTGTCATTAATAATTATTTGATTCAATATATAACAAGAAGTTAGGACAGCTTCATCCCATAAGTTTTTGGGTGTTTCAGAGCTTATGAGCATAGCATTATCATATCCATTAAAGCTCCATTCTTCCTTTTTGCAATACCATTAGATTGTGGTGAATAAGGAGGAGTCACTTCGTGTATTATACCATTATCCTCACAGTAATTCTTAAGATTATTCCCAGTATATTCTCCTTCTCTATTGGACCTCAAAATTTTTATCTTACGTTCTAATTGATTTTCAACCTCTGCTTTATGGATTTTGAACTTATCATAGACTTCATCCTTCGTTTTTAATTAATAAATATAGCAATACTTAAAACAGTCAGTTATAAATGTTACAAAATATTTATTATTAGCTCTTGTGAGTGATCTATTAGAATTACAAACATCACTATGAATCAATTCTAAGATGTTTATACCCCTTCTAACAGATTTAAAAGGTCTCCTAGTTTGTTTGGCCTGTACACAAACTTCACACTTATTGTTACCAACTTGAGATTTTGGAATCAAGTTTAGATCCATAAGTTTCTTGATCTTCATATTACTAACATGACCTAAGAGAGTCACAATAAATGCTGCCCTTAAGTCATGTGAAATTCCCTTCGTGTGGGTACTTTCGGCACTGCATGTTTTCAAGATAAAACCCTTATAGCTCACCTTCGATTCTCCTTCTATGGGAATGACCATAGGGAGAGAAAGAACAAGTCCTTATCAATTGTCAAAATTTATAGAAGAAGATAATATAAATGGCTAGAGAGTAGTATGAAAAGATTAGAGAGTATTTTTCAAGTGTTTGATTTGTTGTGTATAAAACAATAGGATATCCACTTCCCTTTATAGTAGAAAAATTCAACTCTCTCATAATGAAAATTAATCAAATTCAACATAAGCTACAAATATAATAATGAGATTAAATTTTTGTTTTGAGTCAAAAAATTAAAAACAAAAACTGAAAAATTTTAAAAATGAAAACTGAAACCTGAAAATTAAAATGAAAACTGAAATTTAATATTCATTTTAAAGGTTTTATAACTTATTTTCGACACTTTTATTTCACCTTTACAAAATGAGAAATTTCGATAAATATGTAGTGACTGAACTTCATTAAACTAAATTGAAATCAATATACGTGTTGTCTTGAGTTGGCCTAGGAGATCAGTATGGAATCAAGATTTCAATAAATAACATTAACTTGAATACAAAAGTATTTTATTAAAAGATTCCTGTGAACAAAAATTCCAGAGGTTCACCTTTCAAATTGTTGATGTTAGCCGATGCAATGAAAAATTCCTTTGCTGCCATACTAGCAATGAATAGCTTTCTGTTATTGTAGCGACATATTTGCTTTCTGGGAAATATTGGTCAGAAAGTGCGGTGAACACAGCGACGAGAAAACTAAAACAAAAGAATAAATGTCATTAGGCTAACTGGTGAAAATTTTGGGAGAAAGACAGACCTCACTAATCAATGCATAAATTACAAGTGCTCCCTCAACTCTCAACTTCACCCTACAAAAAATATAGTACACTTTATTCTAGTTTATTCTAGTTTGTCTGGTGAGTTTTCTCTCTCTACAAGTGACTGTCACTTTGTTCTCCCTTTTGTATACCACCCTACTCTCTTTGTACTCCCTTTTGTGTACCTCATCCTCTTTTCTACCCAAAACTAATATCCTTAGCACCCGAGATTAAGCTAGAAGTGGAATTATTCTTTTTTCAAAAAATTTCAACCCGGTCTTTCTCACACCTTTCATAATCATGCATGCACCAATTGGAGGGACTTCTAATACATTAGGATAGATTTCCTTTAAAAAAATACTCTTAGTTCCGTGGTACGTCTTTTTCAACCCCAATTTTCCTTGGACCAAATTCCAATGTTATCTTTCCTTTCCTCTAACACTTTTAGCAGCTTCTATATCCATTCTCATGGCACAACTCTCTGTCTGCATGCCTTGATTCCTTATACGCATTTGATTCATTACTTTTCCTATTTATAACAGTTGGTCAGCCAAATTCATAATAATATTCTTTCTTGTCCTTCAGTACTATTTTACTAATTTGTGTCAATCCCAACACTTCTTGTGAATTAGGTGCATATAAAGGTACAATGAAATCTTTTCGAAGAAAGGCCGCCACTCTTCAGGATTAGTCAAACGAAACTTGGACACCTGAATTATAAAAAAAAAAAAAAAGGAAAAAAAATTCTTTTCGAAGAATAGTAAAGTGGAAAGGATATAAATCAAGAAAATGTGGTAACAAAAAAATTTTGGCGTCAATAAAGGCTTTAGTCCATCATGGACATTTTTTTTGGCAGAAATCCAGCACTCATACCCTGACATTCACCAATGTCTACCCGTAGCCCTTCTCCCATTGAGTTACACCAAACAATTCAAAAAATATTAAGCTCATGTGCAAATTTATTGCTTCATGATTCAATTATTTGTTTTGCCTACTCATGCGCAGGGCCGGACCTGTGTTTTGTAGGGCCTGAGGTGAAATTCAAATTTTGGGCCCATAAATCATAGCAAGCAATTAATTTTTTTTTCATTTATAAGAGATTTAAAAAACTAAATTTGTCAACATAAAATCAAAAAAATGAAATATTTAAAATATGTATATTATAATTGAATAACAACGTGAAAATGTTCTAAAAGATCACTTAAATACAACCCGTCTTGCAGTTTTCGAGGCAAAAATATCGATCAATTTTGTATAGTCGAGTTGTTCAACCATTTCTTTTTCAATTGATAACATGGTTAAACCATTCAATCTTTGCTATGACATAGTTGATCGGATATAAGTCTTGATCAATTTCAACTTGGAAAAACTTCTTTCTGCTGATGCAACTGTAACCGGGATGGTGAGCAAAATCTTGTAAGCAATGCAAGCATTCGGAAAACAACCATTCATTTTCTTCAAGTAATGTAGCACATCAATTGCTCTTTTTGTTTCGCTAGTTAAATAGCACCTCGAGACGATCAACTCCGAACATAAATCATCAACTAAAATGTCTGAATGTCCATTATGTTCTAAATACTGCTCAAGATTCATACAAGATTTTAGCACACTGTCAACTGGCATACTCTTTAATCTATCCATGTTAAACAAAAATCCAAATATCTCTTCATAATGTGTAAATTGTTCAAAACGAGTTTGAAGTGATGATCGAGCTTGATCAATTATAAAGAGAAAATACTCAACTCTAAAAGAATCTTCAGCCGAGTATGTTACCTCTTCAGTGCCACTTTCATCGAATTGTTTCTTTCTTCGAATGCTACGTCTCTTTTGAAATACAGCTTCAATTCCCATTTCACTTGCCATTTGTTTAGCTTCATCCATAGCACTGGCAAACCCAGATTCTCTATAATCTTCGAGAAATGAAATAAGTGCTTGTAAAAGTTTGATGGCTTCATTAATATCCATGTTTTCGGCTTGAAAAAATTTATTCACAGTATTGATTGCATGCAACAACTTATACCAAATTACTATGCCAAGTAAAAACTCAAAATTTTCAAGTTCATATATTGCGAAGGACTCAGCTTCACTTTTTGTTTTAGGATCTTCAACAATGTTTGCCAAGTCAAGTAAAGTGTCTCTTATTTGTACAGATTGTTCTTTTATAGGCTGGACGCTTTCCACATGACTTTCCCAGCGTGTCTGTGACAATGGCTTAAGTGTCAGACCTTGAACCTTATCTTTAAAAAAATTCCATCATTTGGGAGAAGAAGAGAACAATGTGTAGATTCGTTGTATCATTCCAAGAAAGGACATAGCTTTCGAACAACAATTTGTCATATCACATAATGCTAGATTAAGGCTATAGCAACCACATGGAGTATAGAAAGCTCTAGGATTAATTTCAAGTAACCTTTTTTGTACACCTCTATGTCTTCCGCTCATGTTAGCTCCATTGTCATACCCTTGACCTCTTATATTATCAATATCAAGCTCAAGATTCTTTAACACATTTTTAAGCTCGATGAAAAGTCCAAATCCTGATGCATCATCCACCTTCAAAAATTCAATCCAATATTCTTGTACCATCGGCGAGTCTATCGAATCATCCACGCATCGTATTACTAGAGACATTTGTTCTTCGTTACTCGCATCTGGAGTACAATCAAGTATGACGGAAAAATATTTTGCATGTTTCACTTTTGTGACAATTGCACTTCTCACCTCGCCTGCTAACATTTGTATCAATTCATTTTGAATCTTAGGGCCCAGATATGTATACTGAATCTCGCGTGCTTGGGCACGTCGAATGTGTTCTTCCATTATTGGATCGAACTCGGCAACCATTTCTATCATTTGCAAAAAAAGTCCGTTGTCCTCAACATAAAGTTGCTCACAATCTCCACGAAATGCCAAAGTATTTTTAGCGAGTCTTTTCACAATAGCAATTATTCTCGTTAACACTTGTCTCCAATGCTCTCTTTCTTTGTTGATGGACAATTGTATGCTTTCATCAATTGTATGTTTTGTTTGAAGCCTATTTTCCAATTCCATCCAACTAATCATGCAACCTATATGCTCCTTAGACACTTCGTGATGTGTAAGACGCCGATGCATATTATGCCAATCATTGTATCCGTCATTACCCAATTGGCCAATATTTTTGTCCATTTTTTCTGTCTTAAATAACTTGCAGCAAAAACAGAAGATCTTATCCAAAGAAATTGAATACACTAACCATCTTCTATCAGTTGTCTGCCCATTTGCCATTAATCGCTTATATTGTGATGATTCAAAATGTCTACCTTTATTATCTCTGGGAAAGAAGATGTCATCAACTCTTTTTGGACCCACTTCAACTAAAAAGTTTCTTATCTTTTGATCAATGTGAATGTCCTTCCAATTTCCAGGATCATTAAAATTCAAAGAGAAGCAATTCTCTTGATTTAAATCTTCATGTTGAACATGATTTTCATCATTCTGTTTTGACTCATCCATATTTTCAGGTTCAATAATTTCCTTGTTCTCTTTCTGTTCATCCACATGATCATTATCAATATCATTCTGATTTTGTTGCTCTTCAATCGTTAAATTTTCTGATGTTTCTTCTTTCTCTTTTCTTTTCTTGCCATTAAAGTATTTATCCATATCTCCAACTTGGCTTTGAATTAATGCCTCTACTCTTTCCTTCTTCCTTTTTTGAGCTCCCAACGCATATTTGGAGCCATAGTATTTTATTCAAGCCACTCAACAGCAAACACTTACTGAAATTTGAGAGTAAAAGAGGCTCAAGTTAGATTAATTTAAGATTAAAAATTCAAATAGAATTGGAATAAGCCATCATTCACCAAGATGCAACAAATAGACAAATAAATCAATTTGAAATTTTGAATCTCACTTACCCAAAACTTTTTATTTGCCAAATATTTTAATGATAACCTTTGATTTTCGACTCAATAAATTCAACTTCATTATTGCTATAAGAATGAAGTTACTTTTAAATTCTACCTCCTCTTTTTTTGCACGTATAATCATCATTCATCCACAGTTAATTAATTCAAATGAAGTACATTAATTGAGTTTTTTCCTTTTTACAACATTCCAACAGCATAAAACAGTAAATGAAATAAGGTATTTCTTGCAACCTTCTTTACTTCAATGAGTGAATTAATGCTCTTTAAGACATGTAGAACAGTGTACAAATTCATCACATTAAACTATTTGACCTAAAGTTCTTTGAAACAAAAATTTGATAATCAAGTTTTTTTCCTTTATACAACATTCCAACAATATAACATAGTAAATGAAATAAGATAATTTAACATATAGCAAGCACCTAAATCCAAATTCAGAAATGTATCACTTATATAAATCATCTTTACGACCATTTAAGTGAGACATTGTTTAATAGCTCAATTAATCAAATAAAATTTAATAATGCCAAGTATCCTCCTCATAGCTAAATTGCAAAGCAGATCACATCATTGCACTGGTGACTGGTAAACTAAATTTCTGCATTTTGAATATAAAACGTACCAAGAAGTAAGAAACTGCCTCAACAGTCTCCAACTCTACCCACAACAGAAAAGCTGCTTGCGCCTTCTCCATTGTTTTCGGCCTCCCCGTTAGACATTTTTTGCCACTATCACATCACATACTTCTTTGGCATATCTGAACCCGCAAAGGAGCGAAACAAAATTCAGCCACTATTTTCTTAAAAAATTGACCTAAAAGTTTTTCAAATTTAGAAAAAGAAGATAAAGATCCGGGATCTAAAAATACTGGCACTCCGTAGACGGTAGTTCTTAGTTCTTACCTTTCCGAATGTCGAGTCCTTCCGATAATAAAAAACCGCCACAGGAACCGGAGCCGGAGGATGCTGTCACAGTGTCACTCGCCTCACTGTGTCGTCGCCGGTAAGTTTTAGTCTTTTAGAAGTGGTTGAGTCTTGAGTACTTGAGTTGAGTTGCAGACGTAGTCACGTAAGGAGGACTGGAGAAGCAATTGGTGACTGCAGTACAGCAGAAGACGTAATACTGCAAGTTTGCAATGTTGAAATTCAAGTTGTTGAAGTTGGGTAAAAAAAAAAAAATAGGGCTCCAAGTTTTTATTGGGCCCCCTAATATGCTGGGCCTGAGGCAGAGGCCTCTTGGGCCTCTCCTTAGGTCTGGCTCTGCGCATGCGTTCTCTTTAAATCATGAATTTTGCTGTATTTATTTTTCTTTGCGGAGTAAATCAATGAATTTTGACTATTTTATGAATCATACAAGATATCAAAAATTGAAAATTTTTATTTTTTGGATTCGGATGTTTAATTAATTCATATAGCTTCCTTTTTTAAGCTTTTCTTATTAGTGTATGTATCATTGTGTTATTTACATGCTGAAGTTAAGAAGAAGATTTTAGACTTTACTATTTCATTATAACATAAATATTTTAGATATTATATTTTTTTGCCATTTCATTGTTGGCTTTTTAGTTTTTAGATTTAGTCAGATTTAGTCCTCAAAGACACTTGTGAAGAGAAAAATTTATGATTTGAGGCAAGGCAGGTCCTGTGATTGTCAGGGCTTGAGGCAAATTCCATAAATTAGGCCTCTTCGATGAAATCAATGTAAATACAAAATTCAACGGTATATTGTGCGACCTATTGCTAACTTAAAACTAACATTAAAACAACCATCAAATATATTATAGAAAAGATTTATATTATAATTTAACAAAATCAACAATGTTTCAAAGTTCAAACAATGCAATTTCATTGTTGCTTTTGAAGTACTTGTCAAGATCCCCTGACTTTGAATTAATGCAATTTCATTTCGTTTCCTTTTTCTCTTTTGAGCACCAGACTTATATTTAGGAGGCATAGCGTATGAGTCTATATCTAATGTCCAATGATGAACCTAAAAAACAATTACAAAATATCTCAATCATCTCATAATTACAATTTTCAATATAGTTACTACGTGCGCTTGTGCAATTGTTCATCCTACAATAACCAATCATATAAGTCGACCAGGTCGCAATTATATAAGTCGACAAGGCTTCAAATATTTCCAATATCTTCAATAACAAGTTAGGGCAAGTCATTGCTTACTTGAGAAGTGGAATGTCAATGAAAATTGTGGAATTACACCCTTGACAATTCCACCATCACAGCACATAAGTCTGAAATTAAAATTGAAATAAAATAAAAAATTTTAATCATAGAGTGAAGAAACTTGGGCTAAGTATGGAAGTGCACAATAAGAAATCAGCATAATTAGCTAAAGATTTATATACTACCTAAGATCCTTTTATATTTGTGATGTGACAAAAAATTGATTGTGCTCTCCAAAAAACGAGATGAAAGTACAATTTTTAGTTGCGCATAAGTTGGAGGAACGTGGTTTCAATTTTTATCTCCTTCGTTGCAAAGGTTATTTTTAGCATAATAGATATCAAATTCAGTTGGAATATTTAGAGAGAATGTTGATACGTAGTGACCTAGCAGATACCTAAAGAAAAATAGTTGTTTTGCTTTCTTTTATTCATTATCCCTTTTAATTTCTTGTTAAAAAAATATGTAAAAAATGTAATGTCAATACATCTCATGAATGTAACTTCAGTCTTCATTATCCATAGATGAGGGTCTAAGGAAAGCATTTATTTGGTGTTATCATTAAAGTTGAAGTATATTTCAGATAAAAATACAGACATTGAGGAAATTCATGAAGTTAATCAAGTTATCTAATATGGGATTGAAATTAAACTATTGTAATTGAAAGAAATTACTTAATAATTCTACAACTTTTTCACTATAAAACACCTGAGAATAGTGTTTACGTACGTGACAATGACAAGCATAAAATTTAAAATTTAAAAATGACAAAAACTTTTTGTAATGTGCCATAGTTATATTTGAGAAGACTGAAGACCCCATTGTCTTTGACTAATTAGCAATTTAGCACCAGCCAACAGATTTCAATTTCCGTTGCAACTTGCAAAACAGAGCGAAGCTCTTTTCTTGTGGAGATCAATGAGCAAATGTGATCCTAACTAAGTACAGGACAGTAATATGAAATAAATAAGGTCATTAACCTTTGGGGACTCTAAGACAAGCTGCTTGAGTAGTGGAGCAGCAACGACGTACGGGCAGAGGGCTGGAGGTAGACTGGCGGAGTGAGTGTGAGTCGACTGACTAGAGTTGTAGGGAAGAGGCTGATAATATGTTGGTGGAAGGTTTCATTAACAAAAAATTCCAAAGTGATGTATTTGTTCAAAGATTTTCCTTCAAGAAATAAAAACCTCCATTATTTCTAAAGGCTTTACATATTCTTCTAGTTAATTAACAGCACTTCCCAAGCACATCAAGGTATAGGGGAATTTAATTAGAAGACCAAATAAATGGTGGCATCAACGAAATTTTGGTGTGAGGCATCCAAGGATTTGCTGTCAACTTCTTGGTGTAAAATAAGTGATCATTCTCGATAAAGTGAGTTCATTTGGGTTAAATTATAGATCCTAGAAAACAAGCATGGAACTTTTGATGAATATTTCTCCTTTGAGGCTTTTAATAACTCTGATACTCTTGGTCATGTCTAGTATTTTATGAAATGAGTGAATAAAATCTTATCTCGGCTATGGAAGGAGATAGTCTTGAGTTTGAAGGAAATTCAACCACACTATCTAGGCTAACCCCTACAGCTTTGATAGCATAGGAGGGGGAACATAATAAAATGACAACGAAAACAATCTTGTAAAGGTGTGCATTTTTCTTGATCTCTAGTTGGCCAAGTCTTGTGGCACAAAATTTCATTTTTGCTATTTTCTCTAGGCCAACTCGATAACATTGTCACATGCACCAATTGCTCCGCAAAACAAGTATTCCCCCATTCAGCTGGATGTCCATGAGTACAAAGTAGGAGAGCTACTATGAATAGGTATGAATATTGGGTGGGATCAAACCTGTACATGACCCTTATTTGGGTAATGCGTACCATTTGTTGGAAATAAAAAATTATGGGAAGAAACACTAGAGAGAAAATTCATAGATTTCTCAAAAAAATATTTTTATTCTATGGCATGACTCTATAAAATGTCTCAAGTACAAGGCCTTTTATAGGTACAAAAGATCCCAAATACATTGTATAAACTTAAGAGACTAATTAATGACTTTTCTTATATACTATGAATAATAGGATACAAAGAACCATTTGGATATATGGTTTAAATAAATACATGAATATTAAATGAACTAATTCATATATCAAATTTAATTTTTCATCATGAATCAAGTTTAATTTCCGACACCCTTCTTAAACTTGATTTCCTCTTGATAACTCCAATCCAAGTACGCAATCGTGCAAATTCATAATTCTTCAATGATTTGGTGAAAACGTCTGCTACTTGATCATTGGTCTTCACATAAGCAAGCTCAAATTCTTTGTTCTCAATGCACTTTCTAATGAAGTGAAATCTCATATCTATATGCTTCCTTCGATCATGGAACATACGATCTTTACCCAAAACAATAGTTAACTAGTTATCAATATAAATTGGTGAAGCTTCATTTTGGGCCATATGAAGTATCTCCAATAACTTCTGTAGCCAAATGGCATGACAAACACACGATGCAGCTTCATAATTAGAAATAGTCACAATGGGCT